GCACCCCGGTTGGGGGACGATGCCCCTCCTCGCGGGTATGAGAAGGACGAGGAGCCGGAGGAACCCGAGCCCACACGGCGAGCCACAAGAGGCGATGCCGGGGAGGAGCTGGAGACGAACGACGAGAGTCGGACGGGCTCTCTGGATTCCGCCGACGAGCCGAGCAGGGAAGGGAATTACGAGCGGCTCGCGAGCGACGACGACGACTCTTCGGAGAGCGAATCCGACGAAAAGCGCCCGAGGACGGTCGTCACGGGTCCTGGACGCGAACGGGGCGGGCTGATTCGCTGTCTCGGAGACATGGCCGCGGCCGCGATCCTGTACGCATCCGCTCAGCAGAACGTGGTCTTCTTCGTCACCGACATCCCCGCCCGGGACTTCGAGGCTTTCGATCACTCCGACTGCGTGTTTCGAGTGATCTCTCCCGGCAAGGCCGCTACCGAGTTGCCGGACTGGGCATGGGTGTCCGGGAACATCCTCTTCACGGGGCCGAAGAGCATGACCTACGCCGTCCGGAAGAAGCTTCTCGCGACGAAGCTGCTCTCACCGCCGTTGTATCCCAAGGTGTCGTTCCTCCTCTGCGGGCCGGACGCGGATGACCAAGGCCTGCGGGTGGACCTGAACGCGGTCATCTGAGACCGCGAGCTACTTACCGAGTATGTCGTTCGCGAATATACCAGCGAGGCTGAAATACAGGCCGTTCGTGAGGAGATTGCCCATCGGTTTCTTCGTGAGACGCAGCGCGAGGGTGAGGATCACGAACGTGGCGCTGAACCCCAGGAGCCTGTCGTAGTGCACGACCTTCGCCTCGTCGTAGTAGCGTGCTACGTGAATGATGACGACGTATGCGAGGACCGCGACGAGGACGTCGGTGACGGCTTTGAATATCTCTTCGGAGAGGGGAGTGGGGCGCTTCGTCGAGGTGGGGGCGCCCTCGAGGTCGGTGCCGGATATCATGGCTGCATGTTTGTAACATCCATTATATTGCCGGCGCATCCGGCTTCCCGCGGCGAAGATGATGTGGCGGGAGTAAAATGACACATTGTATCATCCGCTCGCCGTCCATGAGGTCCACACTCCTCGAAGTATCCCAGAAGTGCATCGTTTTCGTGCTTTACACGGCGTGCTTCAACACGAGCCAGATCATCCTCACGCACGAAAGCGTCATCTCCAGGCCTGTCCTCTGCATGCTGGCTGCGAACATGGGGGCATCTGTGCTGACGGCGAACGTGATGCTGTTTCGTCTCGACCGCCTGACGGTGGGGCATCCCGCCTCCGGAAGGATGGCGGTCACGACGCTGGCTCCTGCCGCGTTCATGGTGGTAGCACTGTCGTGCATGAGGCTCGGCCAGACGGAGTTGCCGCTCCTGTTTGCGATCGGATACTTCTTGGGACTGTCGGTCGGTAACGCGTTCTTGGCTCTCGTGACCGCGGGGGAGAGATCCTGGGGATGATCCCGCCAAAAAAGATGGATGTACGGGAACGGATCCATGGAAGTGAGAGAGTTTGCGAGGAACAAGTTTTCGGAGATATTCGAGATGCCCAGCGACTCGTCGTTGGTGCTCAACGCCGAGAAGGGCATCTACAACTACGCCGTGCAGACGGCTCGCGCTAAAGGCATCTATTGCGACTGGTCTTACGCGGGGTTCAGGAGCATCTACAAGCACAAGTTGAACGGCTTGCTTGCCAATCTGAGGAACAAGGCGAACCCCAGTTTCCTGGATCACGTGCTGAGTAAGCATATCGAGGGGCGCCACCTAGCCTTCCTGACGCCCGCCCAGGTTTGGCCGGAGAGATGGGCGGAGGTCAACGAGCGGGCGGTCAAGCGTCTGCCCATCGCCGACTCCGGTACCGTGGCCGGGAGCGCTCTTCTGAGTTGCACGGCGTGTCGTTCGAGGCGCGTGTCGCACTACTCCTTGCAGGACGCCAACGAGGAGACCAGGTTCTATCTGACGTGTCATGACTGCGGGAAGAGGTGGAAGATATGAGCTCAGTCGTTCTTTCTCTTCCTGGCACCCAGCCTGTCTCTCACGTACGGGGATGCGGTTTCGCGAGCCCCTTCGAAGGCGGCGCTCAAGAGAGATGGCTCTGGGTTCAGGCTCAGCCATCCCCCGCAGCGTTCATCCGGCGGCAGTATGAGGATCCAGCGTGCCTCGTACACGGCCTCCGAGTCCCTCGCTGTGCACGCTATGCAGGAGAGTTTGTACACGTACGCGGCGAGCGCTTCGACGACAGAACCCGCACCATCGGGACCACGCCCCTGGGCTGCCACGAAGACCGCTACCCTCTCGTCTTCGGGGATGTCGGCGAGGAGCCCGTAGGGGTAATACGCCAGCAGGCCCCCGTCGACGTAGGAGTGCGCCCCGATGCGATGTGGGGCGAAGTAGAGCGGCACGCAGCAGGACGCTCTGATGGCGTCCATCACGGCGCACTGGGGGTGACTGACGCGATCGAATATCGTCAGCGTAGAGGTGGTCGTGCAGGTAGCCGTCACCCGGAGTACGCTGCCGGTCTGCTCGAACAGCCGTTCGAATGTCAGCTGGCTCGACCCTGCTGCGAGGGCCTCGAGCATCTCGGCTAGGTACGAGAACAGCTTCCGGCCGTCGTCCAGACCGAAGCGCGACAGGAGGTTGTTGATGCTGAGCGACCTGAGCCCTTGGGGCGGGTGTGTGAGCATGTACTCGAGTACGTCGCGGGCACGGACCGTCTTGAGCGCGGCCAGGAATGCGACTATGGAGCCGGCGGAGGTCCCGGCGAAGACTTCGAGCCCCTCGGCTCCCTCGCTCTGCAACGCCTCGAGCGCACTTAGCATCTGCACCCCGCAGACGCCGCCCGCGCTGAAAGCTATGCCCCTCATGTTGCTCGTACGGGCGGAATTTCTGGACCGGCCGCGGACCGCGTGAAGCGGATGACCTCCGCCACGGGCACGCGTTTGGTGCCTTCCGGCCCGCCGATCAGCATGTGCGCTCCGGGTCGAACCTCGATGCCCGCACCGGAGAGGATATCGTCGACGCGGATGGTCGCCCCGGCCGACGGATAGCAGGGCGCGAGCGCATCCCCGCCGAAGTCGCGGAAGGGGCCGGCCGAGGCGACGAAGACGTCGGTCACGTCGGTGCCGTCCCGCTCCATCTCGACCTTCGAGAAGCGGGCGAAGATGGGAGGTGTGAGGATCGGGCGCGTGGAGGGGTCCGACTCCAGCAGCCTCGTCGTGTTGACCGCGGCCCTCACGTGGGCTCTGTATCGCGAACCCGCGTGCTCGTAGTGCACGACCAAGAAGCCGCTGGACGGGTCGTGATACTCCTCGCATAGGGAACGGACGTCCAGGACGCCGTCCCCGGTCTCCAGCAGCCTCATCATGTCGCTAGTGTTCGGCACCTCTCCCAGAAAGTCGTCTCTGTAGGAGCTGCTCACGATGTGACCTCGCCGCGAGGGCCTGCGCTGTCTTCGGATGTTGGAGGTCAGCCACCGGACGCACAGGATGATCCAGACCAGCCTCCGGATGAGCACTCGTGCGATCGTACGGCTCGGCGCCATCTTGGGGAGAGCGGAGAAATAGGGCGCCGCGCGCACGCCGCGTTCGCGGGGCACCGAATTTGCTCCTCTGCTCACACGAGAGGACGTCATCATGACCTACGCGAGCGCGCCGCCCATACTGTGCGTCCACACGAGCGACCAACCGGACCGGAGGGCGAACGTCGACGCCCAGGCCCGGCGGTTCGATCTACCGGTGGAGGTGGTGACCTTCTCCAAGGACGACCTGGATCCGGTCCGAGGATGTTGCGCGTCCCATCTTTGCGTGCTCCGCCTCTCGCGCGAGCGCTGCTATGATGCCGTGATGGTGGTCGAAAACGACGTGGACTTCGTATCAGACCCGCGGCCTTGGGCTCGGGGCCCGAAGAAACTCCCCTGGGACGTGTGCTATATGGGGGGTACCCTGTCCAGAGTCGTACTGACCGCACCGGAAATCATGACCGACGCGACCTCCGTCGCCGTGTTGGAGCTCGCCGCCCGGGAGCCGTTCGAGGACGTGGACGCCAGGATCGCCGGGCTGACGGCGGAGGTCGTGGTGATCTTACCTGCCACGGAGGCCCCGGGAGAGGACGTGCGGACGCGCGTTGCACGAGCTTTCGGCAAGGTCGCGTCCTCCAACGCGAACGCGTTCGTGGATTCGCTCGAAGGAGGCCGCGCAATCCGTTTCGCCGCAGCCACGTACGAGAGGGCCCGCGTGGGCGCCTGTCTCGAGGGCGAGGGCATCGTGGGTCCGGCGATCATGCGGGCCGTGTTGGAGCGCCTGATGGAGGTCACGCACTGTGAGGTCCGCTGCGATGCCCCCGCGAGCGGACCCTCGAGCATCGCTCTGGAGAGACGGGCGTGGCTCCCCGCCACGGTCCTCTCTACGCACTGCTACGTGATGGCCGGCGCCTGTCTGGACGCTTTCATCGCGGCTCTCGAGGCGAACCTCGACTCCGACACGGTGGAGCCCGTGGACGTCGTGTATAGACGATTGAGCGAGTCGAGAGACGTGTACATGCTGCGCGAGCCCGTGGCCCTGCAAGTGGCCTCGTATTCGGACGTCGAGCGCGAACGGACGGACTACCGCAAGGTGCAGGCCTACACGCTCCCGGAGTATCCAGTCAACCACGAGAGGCGGAGCATACGGCGCGCCACGGTGAGGGACGACGGGCTCACGCTGGCTCTGGCCGAGGTCGACCCCCTGCCTCGCGTCTCCGTGCTGACCATCACGAGGAACCGCAGGCGGCGGTTCGCGCTGGCCGTCAACAACTTCCGGAGGTTCGACTACCCCGCCGACAGGCTGGAGTGGGTGATCGTGGACGATTCCGACGAGGGTTGCGACGCCCGCCCGTCTCTCGGCGCCCTGCGGAGGGACCCCCGCGTGCGATTCGTCAGGGCGACCACGTTCGACGGAAAGCCCCTTCCGATCGGCAAGAAACGGCAGCTGGCCTGCGAGCATGCCACCGGCGACGTATATTTCCACATGGACGACGACGACTACGTGCCCGGACACGCGGTGTCGGCCCGCGTGAAGAGCCTCCGCACCTATGCCGCCCGCTGCGTCGGGTCGACGACCATTCTGTGTTACGACGTACGTTCGCGGGAACTGTTTGCGTGGACGTCCGCGGACGTCTTCGGCGACCTCAACGTGATGCCCGAGGCGGGGCTGGCATACGAGCGGGAGTTCTGGGAGGAGCGTGGGTGGGACGAGCGGGCCACGTTCGAGGAGTGGAAGGGATTCTCCCGAGGGAGACTCGATGCGTGCGTGTCCATACCCTCTCAGTTCTTGATCATCGCCATCACGCATGTGGGCAACTTCACTGGGGATCTGAGGCGTTCGCACAGGGTGCATGCATCCATGCGCATGTCTGCCGATGCGGGGCAGATATTTCCGGACGAGTTCGAGCGACAGTTGGAGATGGTATGATGAAGGAGACGGCATATGAAACACGACGAAACTCATAGCGGTCCGCAGGTTGCGACGCCTGACTACTCTGGTCCCGAGGCCCCGAAGCTCTTCAGCCTAGCCTGGAACACCTTATCTGCATCGTTCGCGAACCTATCCCTGAGGTAGCCTAAGACGAATGCGCGCTTCGTCGGCGTCAGAGCCCGCAATGCGCTCCAAGTGGGTATGCCCGTCCCCCTCTCGAGGGCATCGTAGCCCGGGAACAACATGGCCAACTCCTCGGTTCTCAAGGCCCTCCCGACGAGGCGCCGCCCCTTGCACGTGGAGCCGTGGCACGCGAGGTGCGCGACGCCGTGCACGTCCATCGTCGCGTATGCGTGGTGGGATGTGTGGTCCATGCCCCCGCGGAAAGGGCACGAGCGCGAGTCGGTCTGAACCACTATGCGCGTGTCCCCGATGCGCTTGGCCCTGAACCGCGCCCCGATGTCGTTGCCCGCGAACACGTCCCGGAGGATGCGAGCGCACGCGTCCGACAGGACGTCCGGCATGCTCTCCGAGACGGGAGCCCGCGCCGTCTTGGACTTGCGTGAGGGGGTGAGGCTCTTCGAGACCGCAAACGGAGCGAGGGCCACGGGCAGCGCAGTCAGCGGGGCGGTGTCGGAGAGCCATATGTCCCTCTTCTTCATCGCCGTCGCGCTGTCCTGCCTGAGGATACGGGTGCGCTCCGGAACGAGAGTGGTCCCTCTGACCGCGCCCACGACGGCCGGCTCTGACGGGACGACGTGCGCGATTGTGCTGCCCTTGTCCTTGACGGTCTTCGTAGCCCACAACTTCCTCAGGCCGGAACCGGTCTTGTAGACGCTCTCGTCGAGGATCTGCGCCCAGTCGCGGCCCGTGTCGCTCCCGCTCCGGGACAACGCGGAGACCAAGGATCTCCGGATTGTCATGGCGCGCTCCTTGTCGACCAGGATCCGCGGGAACACGATGTGGACCCCTCTCTTTCCGGCCGAGCCGCTCGCCTCCGCGACGGTCACCCTCCGCTTGTCCGGCAGGGTGACCGTGGTGGATGCCGTCACGATGGATCGGGACCGAGGGAAGGAGCGCGACAGGGCTTCCAAGACGGATCTGACGGCTTCTTCGGTCGATGTGTCCCAATCCGTGGTCTCGCCGGAGTGGAGGTCGACGTCGAGGAAGAACGCGAAGACGCCCTGCGCGCGCTCGGTGATAGCGAAGGGGCGTCCCGGGTCTCGAGCGATGATGTCCCTCAGCTTCTTGTTCTGGGCCTTCGTCTCGATGCGGAAGGAGAAGCCCGCCTGCCTCCCGATGGGGAACGCGGAATGCGTCGGTGGCTTTCCAAAGAGAATGCCCTCGCGCACTGCCCACGCCCTGATGGAGGCGTTCAGCCCCTCGACGCCATCCGCTTCCAGACGGCGGCGCTTACCGGGCGGATCCATGACTGTTGGGAATGAGGGCTGGTGGTCGGCCATTTATGGATCTCGCGGGCCACGAGAGCTCTGGGGAGTGTTCGGTGTATGCTTGACTGCTTATATATCGGATTCCTGTCTCGGAGACCCCACACAACATGGATTCCGAGGAGGAAGCATCCGGCTTCGAGCGCGCTGCCCTGGAGGAGCGAGAGCTGGAGAGGGGAGCCGAGGACATCGAGGATGCGGAGTTCCAGCCCCGAGACGACCCCGATGGCAGCGCCGACACCCCGGGCTCGCTGGCGGACTTCGTGGAGGAGGGCGGCGACGTAGAGGCGCGGTCTTGGGAGGCGGTGGGGAGGATGCGGGAGGCCTTTCCTTCGGACGACGAGATAGAACTCCCGGAGCATCTGAGGGCCGCCAAGCGTCGCCGGACTCTGGGGGAAGACGCTGGGCCTGAGGAGGCCAGCCGAGAACTGACACCGATCCGAACGCGGGCCCCTTCTCCGGAGAGGTCCCGGGAGGCCGCGGGTTCTTTCGGCGGCGGGTCCAGCGCGAGGTCCACCCCGTCGGTGCCGCGGGGGGCGTCGGACCTGCCCTTCGAGGCCGAGATGGATGAGGTGGTCGCGATGCTGCCAGCGCCGCCCGTCTTGGCCAAGGTACCGTCGCGGGAGGAGCAGCACAGGGTGTTCGTGCTCATGTGGGGCCTGCGTAAGGCCGTGTTGCAGTATAAGGCCCGTGTGGGCAGATCGGTGGACGACCTGTGCGGCTTCCGTGGGAGCTCCACGAGCGGCTTCCTGACGGCCGTCCGCCGGCTCTCGCGAGCCCTGCCGGAGGTGGACTAGGCGCTGACCCTCTCGGATGCGGGCGTGTCGCTGGTCGACGCCATGCAGCGCGCGCTGCGGAAGTATGAGGGAGTATCGGAGGAGGAGGGGCAGGGGAGGAGGCAGCGGAAGGAGAGCGGGCGGCTGTTGCTCCTGACCTACTTGCAGAGCCAGTTCTTCGTGTCCGGCTACAGGTACAGAGACGATGCGTGCTGGAAGAAGAGGGGGAGCACTGCGAGCTGGGAACGGGTCTGCACGGTGAAGGAGTTCGTGTTCCATGCGTGCACCTCGTGGGAGGCCCCGGAGAAGATCTCCATGGTGTTCAATCTCAAGGACCAGGACTGGAACGTGGGGCGGTACTTCATCGACAACCGGGTGGACGTCACGCTGCCCAGCCTCGCCCCCTCCAGCCGTTACCTCTTTTCGTTCCGAAACGGGGTATACGTGGCGTTGGTCAGCACGACCATCCTCAATCCCGAGTACGTGGATCTCGAGAGGGGGGCCTACGACACGTTCGTTCGCAAGGCGGACATGGCGCGGATGCTCCGCCCCACCGTCATCGCGTGCAACTACTTCGACCGCGACTTCGACGTCGCCGACTACGAGAGGTGCAGGGACATGTCGCCCGCCGAGCTCATCGAGTCCTCCCAGGAGAGCCTGTTGCGCATGCTCAAGAGCCAGAGGATGAGCTCCACGGTGCTGGTCATATTCTACGCGTTCGTGGGCCGGCTCTTGGGCGAGATCCGCGACGACAACTGGGAGAAGCTCTTCTACGTTGTGGGTCAGGCGGGATCGGGGAAGAGCACGCTGCTCGAGAGCATCCTTGCCAAGTTCTACGCGGACCACGACGTCTGCAACACCGGCTCCGACACCGAGAAGACCTTCGGGATGCAGGCCTTCGTCGGCAAGAAGCTGGTGCTCCTGGACGAGACGGCGAAGAAGCTGGGCATATCCCAGCAGGCCATGCAGAGCTGGATCGCGGGGCAGAGCGTGCCGATCAACCGGAAGTACATGGAGGCGATCGAGGCACGGCTTCCCCCTCTCGTGGCTTCCGGGAACGAGACGATGGCGTACGACAACAACCAGGGGTCGCAGAAGCGGCGCGTGTGCATCTTCGACTTCCCCGTCAAGATCCGGTCGCCCGATCCGGCGATGAGGGATAAGATCGAGGGCGATCGGGACAAGCTGCTGTACAAGCCCCGTCTCGTGTACCTGCACGCGCTGAGGGAGCACGACGGGGCATTCCCGCTCTCGTGGAACGCGTACTTCGACGCCACCTACCTCAAGCACGCAACGGCCTCCATGGACAAGGACGTCGTCGCGCTCCTCAGCGAGCGGGCGGACTCGAGCCCGGGCGACTTCCACGTGTACTGTCCGCTCGCCACCCTGATGGCGGACTTCAAGGACCAGACCAAGAAGAAGCGGGCCAAGATCAAGGCCTACGTCCTGGAAAACTTCGACGTCACTCCCTCTGTCCGCCTGCCCTACCCCCGCAAGAGCGGGCAGGCGCCCGTCGCGGACGCCTACGTGCTGGGCATCGACCTGAAGGACCGCGGGGAGGAGTTGTTCCGACTGCGCGACCCGGAGTGCGTCCGAGAACTCGGGGAGAAGACCGGGAAGGTGATGGAGTTCGACGGGCCCGCGAGGGACGCGCTCGGTATCGACGTGTGCAAGATGGCGGAGTTGCGGCGAGACCCGTCCGGCGACAGGGTCCTCAAGCGGTGCATAGCCCTCGACCGCCTCGTGGGCCTGTGGAACGGCGCACTCGCCACGCGGGTAGACAGCGTCAGCATCCTGAAGCATCCGGTGATGCGCGAGTTCCCGTCGTCGTATCTCGACATGGGAGATGGTCCTAGGTGGTACGTGTTCGGTGTCCGAGAGAGAGGACGACGGGACCTCGACAGGGCGTACGTAGAGTTAGCCAGGATAGCACTGGAGCGAGAATGCGTCGAGGACGCGTGACGACAAAAATTTAATGATACATACGCATGTTGCAACGATGCCCCGCGTGAAGGAGACGTTCGTCTCGGTGGATTCCGGCTCCAGGGATCGAGTCGCATACCCAGATGCCAACCGTTTCAGGGTGTATTTCGATCGCCCTCCGCTGGATGCGGTCATCTCATGTGAATTGATATCGATGATCATGAGCGTCATGGGTCTCGAGAACGTGTCGAAAAGCGACAACGATTTCCGGTGGGCCGAAACGATCGATGGCCGGAGTTTCGAACACTCCGTTCATATACCCTCCGGTAACTACTCCGAATCCGACTTAGCAGTCGCGGTCCAAAATGCTCTCAACACACGTACCGCTATGCAGAGGGAGCCGCACTCTCCTCGGGCGTACGGCTGCTCGTTCTCCTACGTGGACAGACGTTTCTACATAAGTCTGCTCTTCGGTAAAGCCTCCGGCATCTCCATACTACCGTCCAGTATCGGGAGGCGCATGCGTCTCGAGGAGGGTCCACCCAGCACCTACGTAGAGTCCTGGGGGTCCGTGACGCTGTCGCCGGCGGACTTCCTATACCTCTCCATACCGAACATGAATACCGGGTAGCCTACGTCCGATCGGACGGTTCCGAAGACGAGCTGCCGTTCGTGGCCCGCATACCGACCCCTACCTCGAACGGGATGTACTTCTGCAACGTCTGCCAGCCCGGCTTCGAAAGCTTGGCCAAGCGTTTCGCGCCGCCCATCGGTCACCTAGGAGGCATGGAGCTGAGCCTGACCGATCGGTCCGGGGATCTGGCGCGGATGCCCAGGGCTTTCGAGTACTCTTGTCTGTTCCGCTTCAGGGTCCTGGAACGTGAGCCGGATGAAACCTGAGGGGACGTGGTTTTTTTCTGCGGCACTCTCAGCTCTTTTGTCCGCATGGCCGGCATCAAGATCCGTCCCAGCCCTTCGGTCGTCCGTCCCGCCCGCTCATCTGGGGCCATCTACGCAAAGTTCGATCAGGAGCGGCCTCCGACGAAGTCGCAGCAGCCGTTCGTGAAGCCGGACGATCGTGACGAAGACTCGGAGTCCGAAGCGGAGCCCTGTCGCGAGACGTACGCTTTGGATTACGATGATGCGGAAGAGGCAGCGGGCGGCGATAGTGCCAGCGACTGCACCGGCTCGACGTTCGACGATCGCGGAGAGGGTTCGGACGACGAAGGTGACGTGTACGACTGCGAGTTCTTCGAGTTATCGTGCCCGAAGTATCGCACCTCGTTGCTCAAGGGTCGGAACGGTCACCAGCGGCCGCACATGCCGTGTCCTTCGTTGATGGAAGAAGAGTACCTCGACGAAGGGTGACGTATTCGGGAGAGCGTGCGTCGTCGGCGCTCTTCGGTATACGGTGCCGGCTCGGGCTGTGCCGTGGGTACAAGAGTCCGTGCAGCAGCCGCACGAATTCCGCGAACCCGCGGTCGTGGTTCTTCAGCCCCTTGAAGAACTCGTCCACGAAGATCTCGTACATGTCCATCAGCATATACTCGTGCATGGTTCGGAACGATTCCACGTCGGGCCGCCTGGTCGACGCCATGACGTTCAGATCGCTCCCATACGGGAAAGCGTGCACCGCGTGCAGCCTCTCGATGGTGGCCCCCGGGAAGCCCCTCGGCACGAGCCCGTCCAGCTTCGCGCTATCGAAGAACTCGCCCGTGGCGTAGCGCACGAAGTGGGTCACGGACCGGTGCGTCGTCATCTGCGTCTCCGCGTCCCCGAAGTACCCGAACATGGGAGCCACGGTCCGGTCCGAAGCCCTATCGATCTCGTACCGCGACTCATGCACCCTGAACAGCAGGCGCGTGATGCACTTCGTGGGGCTGGTCAGCGTCAGGCCATCCTTCGCCCTCGAGCACGCCACGTAGAACAGGTTCAGCTCCTGCTCGAGCTCCTTGGCGGTGAGGCAACGGTTCAGCGCGTCGGAGCATCCCACCAGGAACACGTGCTTCCACTCGAGCCCCTTGGCCGCGTGTATGGTGCACACGAAGACCGGCGCGAGTCCCTCCCGCTTCGACACCCTGCGCTTCTTCGGCCTCGACCCGTCGGAGTCGCCCATGAAGATGCTCGCCGGCACCTTCAGCTCGCTCAACTTGTGCGCCATCGCGTACGCATCCTTCTGAGTCCGGGCCATCACCGCCACGTCGTCCTCCCCCGCTCGACGGAGCTCCATCACCGCCGCCGCCACGTGCGCGCTCTCGTCGCTCCTGTCCTCGAACACGGCGAGTCTCGGAAGCGCCACGGAGGGGCCGGACTCGCGCGCCGCCACCATCCTGCCCGCCCCCCCCTCCGGGCACACGTCGTTGCAGAAATCGACGATCGCTGGAGTACTCCTGTAGTTGCGCTTCAGAGAGAACGTAGCGCACGCGTACGTGCCCAGGCCGTCCACCTCGTCGAAGAGCGCGGGATCCGAGTTCCTGAACCCGTAGATCGTCTGATTCTTGTCGCCCACCGCAAACACCCGCGTTCCGTACCTCTGGACCAACAGGCGGACCACCTCGAACTGGACCGCGTTCGTGTCCTGGAACTCGTCGATCATGAGGTAGTCCGGGACGGACGCCCGCACCTGCTCCGCCGTGTCCCCGTCCACGGCGCCCGCACGGAAGGCCCTCAACAGCCTGAAGATATGCTCGTCGGGGACGAAGACCTCCGCCTCGGCACCAGACACGAGCGTCTCCGCGGGGAAGAGCCCACCGCTCGCCGCTTCCACCTCCACCGCCAACGCACACGGACCGCTCACGTGACGCAGCCCGTTCCGCACCACAGGCTCGAACACCTCCGCCAACTCCAGACAGAACGAGTGTATCGTGGACGCCTTGATGCGGCCGTCCAACCTCGCCTGTATGTCCTGCGTCGCCTGCCTCGAGAACGTGACCACCCGGATCCGCTTCGGCTTCACTCCCTGCGACTCCATCAAGTGCCGCACCCTGGCGATCAACACCTTCGTCTTGCCGGAGCCCGGCGCGGCCAGCACCTTCACGTGACGGTCCCTCTCCGCCTCCGCAATCAGCACCTGCTCGGGATCCATAGCGTCCATCTCCTGCGGATCCTCCGACCCCCGCTCTTCCTTATGCCACCGCGAGCATCAGAGAGCGTACGAATCGTACTTGGGGTAGCACTGTATGCGCTCGAGGTTCGAGAGCTTGTCCTCGGCCAGCCGCAAGCTGCAAGCAAACACGTTCCTCAGCAGCGGGGGCCTCGAAGAAGGCTCCGCGGGGACGAACCCGCAGGATGAGCCCCGCACCGCCGCCATCAGGGACTCGAGGCTGAACCAAGCGAGCTCCGTCTTCTCCAAGAACTTCTGGTTGGCCTTCATGTACCGGAGGAAGCGCATGGTCTTCTCGAAGGCTCTCGGGTAGGAACTCAGGAACGGTATGTGCACGATGTACATGCTGTACGCGTTTCCGCCCATCGTCTTGGAGACGACGACGTCGTGACACGCATCCTCCTGCAGCCGGGCGGCGCAGGCGTCCAGGTCCAGGACCGTGCCGGCCGTCTCCTCGTAGAACTCGCGCACGGCCGTCCGCTTCGGGTCGTCCGCGTCCACCTCCTCCGCCTTGCCCCCGAAATCGCTGTACGCCCCGTCCGACCTGTCCCTCCCCAGGAGGAAGTACACCGTCCCGTTCTTTATCGTGAACGGCAAGACCCCTGCGGAATAGCTCATCGATGCACCTCGGAGGCATGAACCTCCTTGAATATACCAGGCCCTTTTTATTCGTCCGACGATCGCGCCTCACGCCCCCTGCAACGGAACCAGGACGAGCACGTCCTCCGTGGACGAGTCCTCGTGCACCTTCTGCACGATGAGCTGCCCCTCGCCGTCGATCGCGAGCTTGTACGCGAACGAAGTGCCGTCGATGACCCGGCTTATCTGCAAGTCGCCCCCGTTGAGCCTCCAATACGGATCCAGCACGTTCGAATCAGCGTCGTTCCAAGTGAGCGACAGGCTCTGCGGGTCCTGCGGGTAGTCCGTCCCGCGGATCAGCAACCCGCTGCCCGTCATGTCCAAGTTCGTGGCGTCCGGGAAGCGGCCCAGGGTCACGGTCTTTCGCTCCCCGATGATCAGGTTGTCGTCCCACAGCAGGTTGGAATCGGGATCGACGTACGTTATGGAGCCCGATATCTCCACGTCCCCGTTGAGGACGATGCGCCCCACGGGAGATGCTCGCAAGATGAGGTCGCTCTGATTGTCCGGCTGGATGAGCCGCGCCGCGAGGATGTCGGCCTCACCCGTGACGGGATTCACCATGCCGGCCAACATCGAATTTCCGTATACCGCCAGGTCGTTGTGCACGATCACCTGCTTCCCCGGCTCCGTGATCAGAGACAGGTCGCCGTCCGGCACGTTCGGCTTGAGGTCATCGGCGAACACGTGCGACGTACGGAACGTTCCGGTCGGTCGGCTCATCCTTGTGTGTTAAGCATACAAAAAACGCGAGCCCATGCGTTCGAAGCGGTCCCGATTATATGTATCGCCCAAGGGAAGTCAGTCTTCCGACATGGCGTCCACCGACCTGACCGCTCTCTCGCCTCGAGCTCCCCACCCCCGGGTGACCACGGGAAAGGTCACGCTGAAGCCGCATCAGCTGGCGATGATCCACCGCTGCGCCGAGATCGAGGCCACCTGCGATGTGCTCGTCATGAACGACAAACCGGGAGCCGGAAAGACCTACGCGATACTGGGCTGCCTCTTGCGTAGGAAGGAAGAGATCGGTGGCAGGTGCGAGGCGACCATCATCTTCGTGCCACACCACATCCTCACGCAATGGCAGGAGAGCATCCGGGACCTCATCGGGATATCCATGCGCACGTTCTCGCTGGAGTACGGCCACATCGACATCATCTTACGCATCGCAGAAGATCACGACATCATCCTCGCCCCGAGCACCCTCTGCTCGAGCGTGGCGAACGCCCTGAAGGCGGCACACGCGTCGATCCCACGCGTCGTGATGGACGAGGCACTCGCTCTCGACATCCTGTACGCACCCGTGCCGGCCAGGAAGGTCTGGTACATCTCCGGAGACCACGACCTGGCCCAGCACGTCGAACGGAACTGGAGGCCGAACAGCATGATGGTGTCGCGGTGCGACGAGAACTTCGTAGCCTCGAGCTTCCACATCGAGGACCCCCTCGTCGTCGACGAGCACTGCACGTCCCCGCTCCTGGAGAAGGTCCTGATCCCGTCCGTCGGAGGTTCGGCGGAGGCGCGCGAACGTCTGAACGAGATGGACTTCTTCCACATGAGCGCCCCGACCGTCCGCAACGAGAAGGAGCTCATCCAAGCGCTCCTCCAATACACGCGCACATCCAGAGAGTCCAACGCCGCGACGATCCAGGACTGCCAGCACGCGCTGTCTCGCAACCCGAACCCAGTCCAACAGGGGATCTACGAGAACCTCATCCGAGACTGCACGGCGAAGCTGCGGGCGAGCGATGCTCTGGTCGGAAACATCACTGGGAACATCTCGGCGAACGACCTCTGCGTCGCCTGTCTCGAGAAGCTCGACAGGCAGCGCTTCATCGCTCCGTGCGGTCACAAGCTATGCGGAGCGTGCGGCGGCACGTGCCTCGTCGTGTGCCCCCTCTGTCGAACCGCACCGGACGGCGTCCCGAACAGGCTCGAGGTCGCCGCGGTCGGCGAGGAAGATAAGATCCCGAACAAGCTGGAGTGCCTATTCCGCCTCGTGACGGACCGGGGCCCGACCGCAAAGATCCTCATCTTCTCCAAGCACGTCCGCATATACCGCACGATCCAGGAGGAATTCCGTGCGCGCGGGGTGACCTACGCGGACCTGGAAGGCGGCTCCCAGGCACGGATAGACGAGGTCGTCCGAAGCTTCAAGGAGCGGGACACGAAGGTCCTCATGGTGGACTCCTCGCTGTTCGCGTGCGGTCTGAACATCGAGAACACCACCGACGTCATCATGCTGCACAAGATGGACGAACAGACCGAGAGGCAGGTCGTAGGGAGGGCCCAGAGGCCCGGCCGTACATGTCGGCTGACCGTATGGCATCTCTTGAACGCGAACGAGCGGGAACCGGGCACGACCGGCTAGCCCCGACGCTTGCAGAACATGAAGACATCGTAGAGTCCCGAAACGTCCGCAGCCTCCGGCGGATACCCCGCCGGCACGTCCACGTACCCCGGAAAGTTGGTCCAACGGACGAGCCTCAGGCCCCGCGCCAACGCCGCCTCTATCACCCTCTCCGGCCGCACGAGGACCTCTCGGCTCGGGCCGTCCTCGAAGTAATACGCCCCGTCATGCTCACGCCGACCTCCTCGCCCCGCCGTGCGATCGCCATCAGACCCGATTCGTACTCCCCCGACGGGCCCACCAGCCTTTCCACCCTGTCGCCGTTCATGAGAGTGCCCGCGAACACCCCTCCCACCTCGAGAGCCCCCGCGACCGCATCCATGAACAGGCCGAACTTCTCTTCGTCTCGCATCATGTAGTGGAGCGCCATGTTGCACGTCACGATCGACCACCTCTCCGTCCCCGCATACCTGTGCAACCGATCGCACACGTTCGCGATGACGAAGCGATAGCATACGCCTCGCCCCTGTCCCAGGCCCGCGTACCTCTTCCTGGCCTCCATGATAGCCCCTTCGCTCGCGTCCAAAGCCAGCACGTCCGTCAGACCCAGCCTCTTTCACTTCAGCATGTCGCTCCCCGGCCCGCACGCCAGATCTAGCAGCTTCGGCGCCACCCGGCTCGGCGCGATCCGAACCGCCTCCTCCAACATCCTCTCCTTGACCCGATTGTGATACCACCGAACCCGCTCCATCGCCCCCCTTTCGACCCCGGCCCGAAAATACACCCGTCTCCGCGACGCTCCGCGCCCGCGTCCGATCACACCGAGCGGATCGTCTCGTACAGGCCGTCCATCAGCTTCGGCCACGCATAGCGCTCCCTGATCCTTTCCGCGGCGAGCTTCCCGTGCTGCTCCCGGATCTCGGGGTTGTCGTAATAGAACAGGATGCCGTCCGCCACGTCACGATAATCCACGACCTCGCACCTCCCACCGAAAGGCTCCACGACCTTGTCCACGTACATCTTCGCCTTGGGTTCTATCATCATCGCGCAGTCGCGGTCGAGAAACTCCGTGAGCCCACCAACGGACGGCACTATCTGCGGACGACCTATCCCCGCGTGCTCGAGCTGCGCCAGCCCCACGCCCTCGCCCTGGGCGGTGCTCAGACCCACGTCCTCCATATGATACAGGTCCGAGACCTGCGAGTCCGTCATCTTCTGCCTGTTCTCCACCGTCAGGATCCTCTCCGACTGATACCTCGCCACCTCCGCCGGCGTGAACTTCCCGGACATCTCCTGAGCGATGATCGACGGCACGTCCCAAGCCCCCGTGACCTCCGGAATCAGGAAGACAATATCGGCATCAGGCCGCCTCTTAAACACCTCCGCTATGGCCATCGCCGTGACATCCATCCGCTTCCTCTGGGCGTTGCGGTTGAGGTTCAGCACGACCATCTGCCCCTCCTTCCGCACCTGGGGCGCCCGAGGCGCCGGAAAGTCGGCCTCGTCGAAGCCGTGCATGAGGGTGTTCATGGGCTTCGAGACCCCCTGGGCCCTGAGGGCCTCCTTCCAATGCTCCGTGAAGGCGATGATGTGATCCGAGGCGGATTCGATCAACGCGAGCAGATCGGGCCTCTGGTGGGCGTACACAGTGTCCAGATACGTGATCACCTTGACCCCCTCCCCCAACACCGGCGGCTGCTTCTTCATTTCGAGCAAGAACGACGTCGTGACGATGGGGTCGTTGAAGATGATGACCAAGGCCGGCCGGGCGAGTTTCAGGAAATCCCTGAAGTGCGCAAATCCGAAGCCGTGCCGCGTCTCGGACGGGGGCCCCTCTTGCCTCGCGGCGTCGTAGACCGTTACGCTGCTCGGGATGTTGGTTATGCGGCTCTGCATGTCGACGTGACCGAAATTTTGAAAGCCATAGTTGATCAGCTCGATGTCCTCCTTCGCCCCCAGGTGTCTCAAAATACGATACGTGACCTTCGAGTAGCCGTTCGTCTGGTTAGGATGCGTGGACACTAGAAGGATACGCTTCTTGCCCGCTTCCTGGATGACCGCCATAGGTGTCGTGCGAACGTGTCTTTAAAAAAGCAGGGTGAAACGCGGTGGAAACTCAAACCCTGAAGCACACCGTCCGCGAGTCCTCCTTTTTTGGTTCTTGGGTACACGAGCGACGTATGCTTTCTCGAGCTACCCGTAGTGTGGAGTACACTTAAGGAAGAGTAGTGGCACCACATCTGGTATCGACCCCGAAGTGCCACAGGGATGGGGCGCAAGAGGTGCTACTGCAAGAAAGTAGAACCGAGCTTCGGACTCCCGGGAGGGAAGCCGACCCATTCCGCGGCATGCAGAACGGACGACATGGAGAATCTGAAGGGCCGGAAGTGCCACTGCAAGAAAGTAGAAGCGAGCTTCGGACTCCCGGGGGAGAAGCCGACCCATTGCGCCGCATGCAGAACGGACGACATGATTGACGTAAAAAGCCGAAAGTGCCACTGCAAGAAGAGTCAACCCAGTTTCGGACTCCGGTGGGACAGGCCTACTCACTGTGCCACCTGCAAGACGAGGGGCATGGTGAATGTGACGAGCCGGAAGT